TCCCCTCCCCTGCTGTGCACCAGGGAGGACAAGGAGCTGGCCGTGTCCCCGCTGCGCATCGTGGCCGAGGCTGAGCATTCCTTCGAGAAGCACATCCAGGGCATCCTGCAGCGCAGCTCTGCCAACCCCCTGCACCTCAAGTGAGCACAGCCTGGGGCACCTGCAGGGGCAACACTTGGGAGCACTGGGTGTTGGGCAGCTCCTATTGAACAGCACATGGCCTTGGCGTGGCAGTGCTGCCATGACTGGTGCTTGTGCTCCTGGGGGGATGGCATCCAGCCCAGGGATGGCACGGGCTGGGAGGGGATCCCTGGCTCCAGGCTCCTGCTCAGAGCAGGGCTGCCTCCAGCTGGTGAGGTTCTCATTGCTTGGCCCATTGGGTTTGGGGTATCTTAAGCTACCTTGGGATTTCCTCATGTCAAAGGGATTTCATTGTAATCCCTCACTTTCATAACAGACCCTCCCCTCCCACAAGCTTTACCATAAACATTGGAAGTGTTTTAGGCTTCCAAAGGAACATATTAGTAAGATGGCAAAAATGTCAATCTTAAGATCTGCAGATAAAGATGCTGCTCCTCCCCCTGAAGAATGCCTTCAGCTCCTCAGCAGAGCCACCCAGGTGTTCAGAGAGGAATATATACTGAAACAGGACCTGGCAAAAGAGGAGATTCAGCAAAGGTAATGCAAAACTCTCATAAAATGTGCTGGCACACAGCAGCACTGTGGGTCTGATCTGGTGATTGATTAAATGTACTAAATGTAAAACTAACAATGAATACCAGAACTTAAAACTGAGTTATCAGGAAAAGCAGGGGTGAGTTTAATAGCTGATCTCTGTAGTGGTTTATAGGGGAACTAAAAAATGGTAAACATACACAGATAACATACTTTTCTCATGGTGTTTGCCTGCCTGGGCCTGTGGGTGGCAGGAAATCTGATCTCAGCACTAATCCTGACAAAGGAAAATTGCCTTAAGTCTCTGCTGTTTCAAATCACAGTCAGTTATTTACACTATACAGTTAGGACAAAATGAGAGTTTTTTCTCACTGCCCCCCTTTCAGTGTCTTTAGTTCTTCCCACTCCGAGCATTTTCTCTGTGGTGTAAATCTTGATTCACCTGGTTGCAAGTGGTCTGATTTTATTTTCATATGTGTTTATTTCAGAGTGAAGCTGCTGTGGGGTCAGAAGAAGAAACAACTGGAGGATCTGAGTTACTGTCGAGAGGAGAGGTGAGTAGAGCCTGTCCCTGTGTCCAGTCAGACCTCAGGAATGATGCACCTGTGGTGGCTTGGACAAGGCCCTGTGTGGAACAGGTGCCAAGTGAAGGTGTTCCCAGCCTGCAGGTTTGCTCCCTCCTCCAGCTGCCTCCTTCAGCCTCCTTGTCCTTTCCCCACCCCCTGCCTTGTCCCGTGTGTGGATCTGAAGTGAGGAATTGTTTCTCCCTCCCCTTAAGGAAAAGCTTGCGGGAGATGGCCGAGCGCTTGGCTGACAAGTATGAGGAAGCCAAAGAGAAGCAAGAAGACATCATGAACAGGTGAGGGCACACAGGGCTCTATTCCCCCTCACAGCCCCTGATGTTACACAGAGTTTGCAGGTGTGGTAGAACAGAGTGGGCAGGAGCTGCTGGTTACTTACAAAACTGGGTTTCTGCAGTTCCCTGTGCTGGGGTTTGGTGTGATCTGTCTGCAGGCCCCCCATGCTCAGAAATGCCCCTGAGACCAGCTGGAAGGGGAAGGTGAAGCCCCTGAGACTTCGGCAGCCTGGCCCAGGTGTTTGAGCAGAGCTGGGTACCAGGGATGTTAACTCAGAGACATTTCTTGCTTTAAAGGATGAAGAAAGTCCTTCGGAGTTTCCACTCTCAGCTTCCTGTTCTATCTGACACTGAAAAAGATATGAAGAAGGAACTGCAGACGATCCATGACCAGCTGCAGCACCTGAGCAATGCTATCAGACAGGTGAGAGGAGGAATGGCCAGGCTGGGAGGTTCCTGAGCTCCTCCCTCAGTGCTGACAGACGAGTCCTGCCTTCAAAGTGATGCTGTCCTTGTGTTAATTAGCAGCAATGAACTAAAGGGGCTTTGGGCCCTTGGTGTAATACAGACAGAACCTTTGCACACACTATAAGCCCTCAGAGAGCTCCTCAGTCCTCACCCTGGCAGGGACAGTTCTTCTCTTAGTGGGAAGTGCAAAAGCAGACAGATTTAGACCCAAAAAACCCAATTAATTGCAGTACAACACAGCAGTCTGTAATTAACAAGCTTCCACTGTGGCAGGCAGCACCAGCACTGACTGGGGCCTTCTCTGCTCTCCTCCCAGGTGAAAATGAAGAAGGAATACCAACAGAAACAGATGGAGAAGGGGTGCAGCCCCCGCAAGCCCAGCATCAGCCTCAGTGCCTACCAGAGCAAGTGCATCCAGGCTGTCCTGAGAGAGGAGTAAGTGCAAGCTGGGCTCCTCCTGAGGAACCTGAGCCCTGGTCACCTTCAGTGCAGGTGTCTCAGGTGTCACTTAAGCTGTGCTGGGCCAGAGGGGCTGAAGCACAGGACCACAGGATGTGCAGCTCCTGAGAGCAGCACTTTGAGCAGCTGTGTGGAAGTGCTTTAGCCCCGGGATCCCAGGGCAGTCTGTAACCCAGCCTGGGATGACAGGCACTGCTCCCATTCCCTGTTTCTACCAGCTCTAGTGTTTCCCTTCCTCCCTAGCTCTGTGCAGCCTTTTGACTTGGCTTATTTTTTCTTGAAGGGGAGAACACATCAGGGAGATGGTGAAACAGATCAACGACATCAGGAGCCACGTGAACTTCTGACGTGTCCTGGAGAGGACCCTGCAGCCAGGGGCTGGATGAGCTTTACCTGGCCCTGGTATTCCCTTGTATATTTACCATTTGTATGTTGAACAATACACCTTTTACATATTATTTTGTAAAGAGCTGTGAAATAAAATACTTTTGATATGACTCCTCACATGCTGTTGTTCCTGTTTTTGTCATGGGAAGGGGACATGCTGCAGGTGTTTTATATTTGGGGTGTTAGAGGGTAACTCCTGTAGCTGCCTCAGGTGTGGGGGTTGCTGCTCCCTGGGGTTATCCTGGGATTGTCTCCCACCCTTCCTCCATCAGGGGTTCCCTGGGGGGAGGCTGTGGCAGGAGGCAGAGGAGAAAGACCAGAGCCGTGCACACACACACTTCAGCAGCTTTTTTTTAATTTGGAACACTTTCTCCATAAAGGACACACCTTCAGTACAGTTAACAAATGGTTACACTGGAATCCTGGAGACAGCAGAATTCTACACCCACGATTGCACAGGACACCAATGGCTTGGCTCACTGGAATGCAGTATTGACTTCCAAACACTGTTTGCCTTTTGCAAAGATGGCTCTGCAGTCCTTCTTGCCATTACAAGGCCAATTCAGTCTCTGCTGTAGACAGACTCTAGTGGACAATAAGGAATTGTTGTCCCTCCCCCCTGCCCTTGGAAAAGGTGCCACGGTGAAGCTCAGGGGGGACAGGAGTTACTGCACTGCTAAAACAGGGGGGCACTGCTGGGGGTACCAGACATGCTGCAAGAACACTTTGTACAGGTTAAGACTATACAGGTACAGGAATGCAGACAGAACTCCACCTGGGCCCTGCTACAGCCTCCACCAACAGCTCAGCCCCTGGCACAGCTGAGCAGTGACACTGCCTGAGCCAGGAGAACCCACCCAGCCCCAGCCACGCTCCACAACACCCAGAACTGGAAGGAAGAGCATTTGTTTTCTCATGTTCACGAGCAGCAACACCAGAATCCATCATCCAGTGAGTATCTACACCAAGAGCTTTTCCTACATTTACAGTTAAATTTGCTCTGCAAATTTGGCACACACTGTCTTGTTTTGCTTTTAAAGGCCCCTTTGAGTCTGAGTTCAGCAGAAGCTCAGTTGCTGCTGCTGAAGCTTTGCTGTCCTTCCCCCAGGAGGGACAGCAGTTTGCAGGGAGCACATCTCCCACCACTTCTGTGAACAGCCAGGGTTCCAATTTCCAACTGAATTGTTTAAAAGTCTGACATTACAGCAGTTGGTGAAAAGGGTGACTCGTGTTCCAACACTAAAATGGTCACAGCTGGTACTGGGACAGGAGCACAGGTGTTGGGCTGTGTGATGGAACAGGGAGGTGAAAAGGAAAAACCATGCAAGAGCTGCCTGCCCTCCTCTCCACACCAAAGGAAGTTCCTCCATAGACTTGTGCAGTGCCTGGCTCACCAACAAGGAAAAGCACACAGTGCATGCACAGCCCCAGGGCTGCAGGTCTGCCTTGGGGAGCAGCTCCACAGCCCTGGGGCTGCCAAGGAGCCCAAAGCACTCAGTGCACACCCAGAGCTGCCTTTAGGAGCAGCCCCACAGCCCTGGGGCTGCCAAGGAGCCCAAAGCATGTGTCCCACTCACCTCCTTCCTGCCAGGCTGCAGCCCTGAGCTCGCCCTGACACCACCACACCTGGGGAAAGCTGTGCCCACGAGCCACAAAAACACAGCAAGGAAAAGCCCCCAGCCCTGCAGCACCTGAAAGGCTCTGAGCCAGCACAGCCAGGGCTGCTCAGAACAGGTCAGACATGGGACCAGCAAGGGATGCTGGAAGGCCAGAACAGCTCCTTCCCCTGCTCTCTCACACTGGGACCATCCAGAAACACAACCAAAAATATTTTACTGTGAAAGACTTCAAGGTGCAGTTCCTAAAGAGCTCAGCTTGCTGAAGAAGGTGCAGGATGTGGTGCAGTTTTGCCATACAAGAGGCTTCCTTACACCTCCTGCACAGATGAGGCCCCAGTTACAGTAACTAACCTTGTAACCTGTTACACATTTTGGCAAAGGAGGGTGGGAACAGAGAAAAAAGCTTTCCTTTCTGTTCTGCAGCTCCTACTAAAGGCCTGTAGTTTTGTCTCTAAAGTCTACCCAGCCATTGGAAACTGAATAAAAATATCTGGTCCTGGATTTCTGCATCAGGACCTGGCTGCTGTCACCCACAGCTCAGCAAATAGTGAGGAAGAGTAAAAAACCCCTAATCTGGTAACTGCCAAATAAGACTCAAGCCACACTTCAACATCACCTTTATGTGACAGCAAGTGTCATCTCTAAACATGACAGCTCTGCCATCTGTTAGTCATTACTAAGGTGGGAAAATTTGCTTTTGGGTGTCAGGATTATGAAGGGAATTAATTGCTAGGGTGAATAAAATGCTTTAATTTTTGTAATGAGTGGCAAGGAATTGAGCTTGTATGATGCTTTTTTGGCTGTTTTTAAGGCATTCCTCTTCAAAACCACTGGTTCTGACTTGATGTCAGTAGCAGGATTTGCACTGCTAAAAATAGGATTTAAGCACTTAAAGTACATAGTCATGTGCATTGCAGTTTGGAGCATTTTCTGTCACTTTTGAAGGTGATGAAGAAAAGCAGATCTCTGGCCAAGTATATGAAGAAAAAACATCAAGGAATGGAGAAAAAACTAAGAAGTTTTGGACAGCAGGATCTGCTCCTTCAGCCTCCTTTTAACTGAGTTGCAAAGTTCAAGAATTGGGTTTGTACCACCAGGATCACCAACACCTGCAACAGCTCAGGAATGTGTCCAGCTGCATGCATGGAACTCCAGCAGTGCAGGAGGAGAGGAGGAGGAGGAGGAGGAATGCTCATGTTACCTCTGGACATTTATAGAACAAGAAACCCAAACCTGGCAAGTGAGTGATCACAAGAATTTCCTGCCTCTGCTGCCACATTACTGAGTGTAATTGAACAGTCTGGGAGCAGAAGCAGGGGACAGCAGTGCAGGACAGCACAGAGCTGCACTGCCCCTCCAGCAGCACAATCCTGCAGCTCCTGCAGCTCTGTGCCCTGCCCAGGAGGGCCTGGCAGTGCTGCCCTGGGTGCTGGCACTGCCCTGGGCACCATCCCAGAGAGCTCCTGCCTTCACACCTTGTGCCAGCCCAGAGCACAGCACACCTGCCCCACCTCAGGCCAATGCTCAGACATGCACATGACTCTTACCAGGCTTTTTTGTTTGGGTTTTTTGTTTGCTTGGTTTTTGGTTTCTTTTTTTTTTTTTTTTCCACAGAGAAGGGATTCCAGGCACTGCTCAGCTTTAGGAGATGAGAAACAACCGGTTGTAGCTCCATATTCTAAATTACATTTGTGAAAAGAGATTACAAAACAGTGCATTTCTTGTGCTTTTCTTTCTGTATCTGAATTCAACAGAAAAATGGCAAGGAGTTAAATTCTCAGTACAGTGTTCTTTTTCTTTTGGATTAGCATTTATCTGTTCAGGAGATACACAGCTCACTCATATCCACATTTCAGCAGCATTCAAATTCTTCACAGAGCCAATGGTTTTTTAAAAAAAAAAGTACTGAGTTATGAAATAAGATCAATATCCAGTGTCCTGCTAATAAAGTCATATTTTAATATAAAATATTCATACAGCATACTCTACACCTCATTCTCTCTGCTAGCTGAATACTGTTACTGACTATTCAAACAGAAAAACTTCAACCACTTTGCTCTTCAACGTTTTGGAGGGACAATAGTTTCCAGCAGCTACTTTGATCACAGTAGTGGGGGAAAGAACAGAGGGAAAGACAGGGGTTTATGTTCCAAAACTCTAGATTAGGTTACGAAGTCGGCTGAAAGAGGGAAGTTTTTCAGAATGTAAGGACTGATCCCACTCAGTGGAACACGAAACACTGCACTCATTAGTGTTTCCATTAGAAATTCTCCTTCCTACACTACAAGTCACCCTTGTGCTCTCTTCCTGCCCAGTACGAAACCTTTCTCCCCTCTAGAAACAAAACTTAAGTCATTGCTCCCCTCTGTTGTCTTCTGCTCTCTCGTTAGAGTTAAATAATAATTAATGTTGCTATAAAGATGAGTTAAAAACCTCAGCCACAGCCTTGGAGCCCAGCAGGGTGTCTGTCATGTTTCAGGGAGCTGATTAATGTCCGTCAGTTTTGTGTCGTTCAGGATTGCACGGATCCTCTCCAGGGAATCTGCCTGCCGGATCCTCTCCAGCTGCACCTGCAGGAACAACACGGGAATGCAGTCAGCAGGGGCACAGCCAGAGCCAGGCACTAAGGGGCAGAGCCAGGCCTAAAGGGGCTCAGGACCAGGCCTAAAGGGGAGAAGAAAGCAGAGCCAGGTTCAAAGTGGAGAAGAGCCCAAAGCTCACACCCAGGCCCAAAGCAGGGGAAGAGCTCAGGGCCAGGCCTAAAGGGGCTCAGAACCAGGCACAAAGGGGCTCAGAACCAGGCACAAAGGGGCTCCAGGGCCAGGGCTAAACGGGGAGAGCCCAGAGCCAGGCCTAAAGGGGGAGAGCTCACACCCAGGCCCAAAGGGAGAAGAGCTCAGAACCAGGCCCAAAGGGGGGAAGAAAGCAGAGCCAGGCTCAGAGGGGGAAGAGCCCAAAGCTCACACCCAGGGCCAAAGGGGGGAAGAGCTCACACCCAGACCCAAATGGGGAAGAGCTCAGAGCAAGGGGAAGAGCCCAGAGCCAGGCTAAAGGGGTTCAGAGCCAGGCCTAAAGGGGGAGAACCCAGACCCAGGCCTAAAGGAAGAGCTCACAACCCAAGCCTAAAGGGGGGAAGAGCTCACACTCAGGCCCAAAGGGAAAGAGCCCAGAACCAGGTCCAAAGGGGGCAAAACTCAGGGCCAGGCCTAGAGGGGGGAAGAGCTCACACCCAGGCCCAAGGGGGGAAGAGCCCAGAGCAAGGGGAGGAGCTCAGAACCAGGCTAAAGGAAGAGCTGACACCCAGACCCAAAGGGGGAGGAGGTCAGAGTCAGGCCCAGTGGAAGAGCTCACACCCAGGCCCAAATGGAGCCCCCAAGGGATCCAACATCACCAGGGGCTGAAGGAGCACAAGCTTAATTTGGGCCTAAGAATAGGAAGAAGACATGAGGCAGTTGTGATTTTACAATAATCCCCCACTTTCTGGGGGTTCCAGGCATCGTCAGCACTCTGTGTTTTGTCTCATGTGCAGTCACTGACACTGTACTGGAAAACTGGAGATGTGCAAAGTGAACCTTCCCAGGAGCAGCCCCACACGTGCCTCAGAGGCTCTCAAGGTCACAGCCAAAATGCTCTTGGAGCAAAGATCCCATTTCCAGGCTCACCCCTTGCTCTGCTGATAATCCAGTTAAGCTGTGTCCTGTCTGCTGAAAAAGGGCCCAGCAGAACTGTGCTGGAACCAATGCAAAGAGCACAACTGGTTTCTTTCTCACACTCAGACTTCCACCATCTTTGCAGTAGGATCTGGGTTTCAGTTTTAAATCCCCAACTAGCATTTAATTGCTTTTTAACCCTTCCTTTGAATTGCTGATAACTAATTTGGCCAGTGGACCCCTCACACAAGGGGTACCTGCCCAGGCTCTCACTGACAAGGCCAGGGAAGGGAATAACCCTGCCAAGAAACCACAATCCTCCTCTGATGGTGATCTCACACTGTACAGTGCACATGGCACAAGCCACAAACTTTCTGCTTAGGGCAGAAAGAAAACACAAAACACAGAGCTACAGTTCTAACTGAGCTCAAGGTTTACTGAACTACCTGCAAGCTGTGGAAGAGCCCACCACACATCTTCAAAGTAGTGGTTGTTTGCTCTAAGAACTGCATAAAACAGTGCCTGCAGGACTTTAAAACCCAAAAACTGAGGATGAAGACAAACAAGAAGCAATTTCCCTAAGCAGGACAACTCAATAGTCTCCTTTGTCCTCCCAACTCCTCCAGACACAGAGCCAGAGAGGACAGATCTCCATTGTCCATCCTGCTAAACTGTGTCTAGTAAACAAATCTCCCACATTCTGGTGTTAATTTTCCAAGTAAACCTGAATGCCTAGCTCAGAAAATGTGCAGTTTGAATTCTGCTGGATGTCACTGAGGGCCTGGCCAAGGACTGCAAGGAGGTGGGGCTGAAATTCAGCAGCTCCTCTGTGAGCAAAGCTGGAACATAAAGGGGGCACAAACTCTGGGAACACAGACTCTGAGGGTGAGCCCAGTCCAGCCTGGTTTCCCCAGGACACTGAGAGTCCCCCTGCCCACAAACTGCAGCAGAACAGCCTGGCAAACCTGGGTCAGCCTCAGGGACACCCCTGACCAAACTCCTCCCCTCACATCAACCACAGGTTCACTTGGTGGAGGAAATACAAGGATAACAACAGAGGCAATTGCAAGGACAAGAGTTTTAGAATGTATAAATAGAAAGCAGTAACTGTGACACTAAGAATCATTTCATATATTCAGATCAAGCAGTACCAGCTCCTTACTTTGTCCTTAAATATTTGCATCTGAATGATTTGCCATGAAAATATCACATTGGAAGCATCAGGAGATGGACAAGGAAAAACACAGGTCTGGAAGAGCCATCATCTCTGGTCCTGCACAGTTTCTTTTAGTACAATAACTGAAAATTAGCTAGAACCATGTAATCAGGATGGAATCCCAATAGTTTTAATAATAATACCATAGTGGGAATACCTGAGCAGTTTATTACACTAACAAATTCTAAAATAGATCATAAATACCAACATAAGAAAATTTACAACTGCTATTTCTTATTTTGCTCAGCTCTGGAAAAATAAAGAAACTAAAGCAGTCCTTCCACATTGATTGGACTCTTACCTGAAGTGTCTGGGAAAGCTTTACAAAGTCTCTCTGCACTTGCTCACTGACATCCAATTCAGTCTGCAACCTCTGGGCTTTGTTCTTCTCTTCAAACACCAGCTGCTCAAGGTTGGCCTGAGGAGGAAAAGATTCTTATGCTTGAACTGATTAAAAATCAGCAGCTTGTATAAACTGATTAAAGTGTGATACCAGAGGAAAGCAGCACAGCATTCACAGGGCAACAAACCAAACCAGTCTTTCCCCACCTCAGTTTTCCAAAGTGCAAAATCAGGGGCTGATACCCATTAACAGGTGCTAATAGACTGGTCAAGGCATGAAAAATCCCCAAGTCCCTTAACAGCACCATGAGCAGGGATCTCAAAATACAAAGGCAGAGTTCTGAGTTTTGGTGCATAAGTTCATGGTAAGGGCAGTAATTGCTGCTGGCAATGTAACTGTCTTGCTGTCCTGAACTGTAGTCAGAGAAGTGTTGGGGGAAAGGGCATAAAAAACCAAAACCACAACAAGAGAGGGCAGAGAGAGAGTGCTCAGATCACATTTATTCCACCTGAGTGCTGAAGTAGAGACCCTTCCTACAGCAACTACAAAAAAACTCCCAAACATTTCTTCAAAAGCATCAAAGCATCCAAGCCAAGGTTTGGTTATCAGGACACTGCACAGGCTGGAATGTTCCTGAGCCTTCCCCTGGGATGGTCAGGTCAGCAGCAATTCAGAGCCACCACTTTACAAATCCCACTGAAAACAGGGGTGAGGATTTAACCACATCCAGAGGACATTATTGCCCTGCCAGTTTCTTACCAACATTCAAAAGCTTCTTTTTTTCATTCTTAGGTAGTGCCACATTCTCTGACACAGCTGCTCATCACAAAAGATGCAGATACACTTCACATCCAGACATCATAGCTACCTTTGCTGCAGTCTCCTTCTTCAGCTGTTCTTCTAGAGCATTCTTTGCCTCCTGCAGACTCTCCAGCTGCTGCAGGTTTTCCTGTGAAGAACTTTCCAACTGCATAATAATAATATAAAAAAAATTAACTAAACTTCATAACATTTCCATCTCCCACAGTCCCTCCGTAAGGAAGTCTAAGTATCTTTCAGTACTTAGGGGACTCAGAAACACACCTAAATAATCTCTTCTAGGGGCAGAGAAAATACCTGAATAACACCACTTTCTCTCCATTTATTTACTTTTGGAGCTGGAGAGAAATACCCAAACTTGACATGTAGGTCAGTGTTAGGTAGTCTAGTAGTAATTAGGAATTAGTTAATCCAGTATTTATGTTACAGATTAATAAAACACCTTTTAAGGAACAGAACTGTGAGTGTGTCCTATTTCTACACTGGCATCAATACAGGAGAGAGGAAAAAACCCCTTTACTAAAAAACCCCACAGTATCAAACTCAAAAATTCCACAGTGAAAGAGCTTCTTACCTGTTCCTTTTCTGCTTTTATTCTTTCCAATTCAGCTTTTAAACTGGAAATGGAAGCTGAAAAACAAGAATATTAAATCTTAAATGCAAGAACACAGGAAATTGTTCATACCCTGTTTACTTCTGTTAATATTTAAAAGAGAATTAAGCTCATGTTACATGAAAGGTACCTCAAAAGCAAACAAATAATTGTACTTTTCAGCTGCACAGCTTTGGTGTCTCTGCTTTCAAAAGTGCACAGTATTTAGAATTCAGGTAAGTCTACACACAGAATTCAGATAATTTTACTACAAAATCAAGTCTTTGTGCGTGTTAATAATTTCCTATATTCCCATTCTGAGACCATTTCACTCCTGCTCACCTATTTCCTCTTTGCAATTCTCTATTTCCAGCTGTAGAGTTTCTTCTATATTTTCTTTCAAATATTGTTCAGCTTGGATCTGTTCCTTCAAGAAGAGGATCTCTGCCTTCAGCTTCTCCTCGAGGTGATCTGCTGCTGTCCTCACACTGATGATGTCCTGCCTGTACTTGAGGATCAGCTCCCGGAGCTCCTGCATCAGGATTAGCAGAGATGGCATTTGGCATCACCCAGCTCTGGGCTGTC